CATGCTTCAGCAACATGCTCTTAATCTTAACCGCAAAACACAAGATGCTCAGCCTTTTTTTTATTCTTTGTACTGCTAGTTACCTTATCCTTATTTTGACTTTTTGCACATGCCGATTAGTAAAGATTGCCAGGAGTTGGAGCCTTCAGTTGGTGAGCGGTTGGCTTAATTCCTTGCTTTTTCTTGAACCAGATGGTGGGCTCATGGTATGCTTGCTCTTCTAATCCTTCCTAAATTTTTACGTTTAAGAGTCTTTAAACATAAAGAAGAAATTGCCCCTCAAATTGTACCTTTTCCGAAAGAAAAAAAAAAAAAAAAAAGGGAGGAAATTGCCCAAATAGGGTAGACAGGAAAAAAATAAAAATAGTTCATTGACTTTGGCTTTTGGTCAAGAAAGAGAGTTAGGTCTTAGACTCTAGCAGATTTATACAATTTATTGAGAGCTTTCTCAATAGACCCTTAATCATCAATGGTGGTTGTAAAAATTCATAATTTGATTGCTTGTCATGTAAAAATTCACCAAGCTTTTAAAGCATCTTTATCTAGGTCAAAGATTTCCTCCAATATTGTTTTCAATTGAAGTGGATGGAGATTGTAAGATTTAAGTTCCTGTATGGCTTATTGGGTTTTCTCATTCTCTGTATTTTATCTATTGGTTGGCCAAGAAAATAGTTTGTCTTTTGGAGAGCCACACCAAAATGATTTTTTGCAATCTGGGCTACTGGCACTCTCAGCTGCTGCAGAATCCAGACAATGTAGGGGAGAACCCAGACATTGTACCATTTGAGGACAGTGAGGAGGAAGATGATAGCTTTGTTGCAGAAGCTTAGGACAATGTCGATCAATTTGGTACTCTAAACAAATTCGTAAAATGATGATAATGAAGGTGAGGATGAAGCACCAAGGCAGTCAAGGCATGGAGAAGGGAAGAGAAAGGGGAGATACTGAAACTCTAGCCTTATACTACAGTTCTTGCTGCCTCTAGTGCTAGTAGTATGTCATAAATCTTCCCCTTCATGAATCTGAATTCTTGTCATACTAGAGCCTTTGGTGTGCTGAAAGCACTCGTTTTCAGCATTTTCCTTGAAATGTTTGAATATTTAACCAGTTGTGTATATATGTGCATCAGATCACCATAAGGGTGATAGATACAAGCAAATCCTGTATGTGAAGAACACAGATTACCACTTAGAAATTCATGTGACATTTCCTGTATACTAATTGAAATTGAACATCAAAATTCACATCTTTTATCTTTATGAAATGTTATGGTAACAGAGATGAACTTGGTTTTCCTTCTGTTAGACACAAGTCGAAATCTCAAAATTGACAAACTCTTATACTCAACAATCTACAACGTCACCATAGCAATAGGAGAAAACAATAATGCATCTACCAAGTTTTCCACATTTACAGTCTAAATTTGAGTATGAATTCAAATATAGCATGTAACTCACCAGTCCCTACATGCCATCTTTCCCTGGACTTTCTATGACATTTCAATGCTCCCACTCCAGCTCCCACCAGCTTCATCCTCTCCCTTCCTCTTTTTCTAAGCATTCTTCCTTTCTTCAATAATTCTCCCTTCAATTCTGCTCATTTCCGCCTGAACTTTCTCTAACAATTGCTCACTGACCGTCAGCACAGGTTGATTTACTGGCGCAAGAGGACGCCCGGAAGTAATCAGCACAAGTCTCAACCACAAAATTATGTTTTCAATTGAATCAATCATCTTATCAAAATCCAATCTTCTGTACAATGCTTCGTGCTGATCTCTGTCCAAATCTAATTTCTCAACTGCCCTTTCTGATGCCATGGATGCAAGGATCCTGTGTACTACAATCGGCACCATCCCATCATTATCATCTCTAAGTCTCATGAGGGAAGTTCTCAGTTGCCGGAGCCTGTCCATTGCTGCTTCATTGCCTGGCATCATGGTGCGGAGATGACGAAGAAGGATATACATTTGAGTCTCCAGACAAAAAACCCATAACTTGAACATTAATCCTGGAATCTTATCTTCCTTTGCCTTTGCTGTTTGCAACAGCTGCTTCGTTCGATTCACTCCATTCCAGTTCAATATCTTTGCTCCTGCTAATCGACCGGTCTCTGTGGTTCTATCTTGATGTGCATTCCAACCGGCCAATGTAAAAGAAGCTTCTATTTCTATTTGTTCTGCCTCCTTATGTTCAAATCCATAAAACTCCATTATGATATCAGTCAAACTCCGATCAGTACCTGTTAGTTGCCGATTGAAGGCTTTCAGTTTCTTCTTTGCCATGTTTCTAGCCGCTGCCCCGGGACTCAGCTTCTGTGTTGGATTCTTCGCAGGTAATGGAGGTAAGCCATACCTACCTACGGGGGCTTTAGATTGCTTTAAGTTCAGAAAATCGAAGCCGATCTCACTATTCAGTTCTTCAACTTGTTCCTGAATTTTCCTACTATCAGTTTCCATCGCTTGGAGTCCTGCTTGGAGCAAGGCCTCTGCCTCAATATTCTCAGGCGTGGCTTGACCAGCTACGGAACTGAACAATCGAAGATCCGTTAGCCGATGTTGTTCTTCCGTCATCCCGATCGTCTGAACATTCCTTAACACCAGAGGATTTTGGCACCTCACATTGATTGCATTGAGTTCATGTGCGAATTCTTGAATCCCTAGGTTAAACGTTTGAAACATCGAAGGACCAAGATTCTGAACACCGACTGGGCAGGATTGATTCACAAATTCTTGAAACCTCTGGCTGAACCCTTCGAATTCCTTCTGCATTTCTTCCGCTGCTCGTTTCAGACTATCTGCCATTTCCTGTACTTTCTGTTTAGTAGTTTCCATCCGTTCTTGAAAATCAAGAAACTCGGCATAATGCCCGGTAACCACCGAGAGAGCGCGAGCATCATCGATTTGTTGAGCGACCTCTTGAATCCATCCGCCATATGTTTCAAACACTGCAGGATTAAGATTCTGAACACCAGTTGAGAAGGAGTGATCCGCGAATTCTTGAAAACTCTTGCTTAAATCTTGGAATTCCTTCTTCACATTTAAAGCTGCCTTTCTCTGATCATCTGTCGCTCCCTCCTTGCTTGCATGTTCAATCAATTTTATTAATTTCTCTTTGGTGGCTGCCATCTGTTTTTGGAGATCAAGAAACTTCTCCCGAATTTGAGAATCACCACCGTTGTCACCGCCGGAGGCAGCCATCGCCGAGGTGAAGCCAAGAACAGGGAAGCGAGTAAAGAATACGCGATCTGTCAGAGAGGAAGACGAAGGATATTGGCGCCAAGGGCAGGAGGATATTTTATTCGGTTATGAGCGTGAGCAGCTGCCCTGGTACTGGCCCTATATAAGGGCGTGTTGGGCTGTATCTTTTATACAGTTTAACTGGCCCAATATAGTGGCGAGTTGGGCTCTATCTTTTAGCAGTTTGGGTTTGAATTTATGGTTCCTGGCCTAAAAAAGTGATTTTTTTTTTTTTTTTTAAATAATATAATAAGGGCGTTTTTTTTTTTTTTTTTGTTCTTTTTTTTTTTTTCTTCTTCTTTTTTTGGTTTTTTTTTCTTTTTTTTTTTTTTTCCCAATCTCTGTCATTCTATTAGAATGATAAATTTAATATTGTTTACGAACAATTGACTTGTTATATATTAGTTTAAATTTTTTTTCTCAAATTAATTTAAAAACTTCAAAAATCATATCAAATCAATATCTATTTATGGTGGGTCTAACACTAATTACCTTCAAATTAGTAGTTCGTGGCAATGAATCCGAGAGATGAGCTTCAAAATGATCCCATGACCATCAAATTTTACTGTACGAGTTTCAAATTCTTTTTTTTTTTTTCTAAGATGTAAGTTTGAACTTTTTTTGATATATTAAAAAGAAATTCAATGTTTTGCCATTTAGATTATATTATATTATAAAACATCAATGGGATCCCTCCTTAATATTGGGATGAAAATACCACATTACATAGTGATACTTTGAACTTATAACTTATGATATGTCGTTATATAATTAGTTCTTTTCATTTAAAAATTTATATGTAATATTATATATATTCATTCGTTTAATATTACGTTATATTTATTTAATATCATATCATAATTATTAACTTATAACTTTATATAATATTGTAACTATAGTATTGTTAATATTAGAGACCCCTTTTAATCTAAAAGCTAATGTTCTATAATTCAATATAACCCTAATGTTCCATAGTTTAGTATAATCCAACGGCAAAATTTGGAAAACACTTCTTATTGAAAAAGTGAAACATGGAGTATTCCATTGGAAAAGAAAGTGTCCAAAATAAATCCATGCACCATCTTAAAGTTCCAATTTTCATCACCCAACTCGCAGAGACCTAAAATACATTGAGAAAGTACTTTGATTTTAAAAATGCTAGTAGAAGCAAATGAAAATTGGGAGCAGAAACCTAAATCTACGAAGCTTTTAACTCACTAAATATATGGTTCTTTTATGTTTTT